TGAAATGTTAAACACATGTAAAGTTTATATTCACATTTGGTTAACGGATATTTTGTTATTAATATAAACGAGGTTACTCGACACATATGACTAAACAGAAAAAATAATTCCACAATTTTGATTATAAATATAGCAGGATTATGTTGTTTAATGTTTTATATAAATATTAATTCATTTTTTTTTTACGATTTTAGTGTAAATATTTTTTTAAAAAAATAAACAAAAAGGCTAATTACAAAATTTAAATAAAAATAGTATAAATTAAGGAAATTTTTAGTGTTTATACAGTTATTAGAATATCACCAATTAAATGAAACCATAAAAAATTAAGAGAAACTATTAATAGTTATCGAGACTTCGTCTTACTAGGATCACCTTGTCATCCAATTTTACACCACATTTTCCAGGATAAGAGTCTTTTTAAATGACTTGCAGAATGTTGGTTACCTTTGGTTTAGTATAAACTGGCATAATCATATGACTAGTCGCTCCACAGAAAATGTTTTAACGCTTTTGAATCATATCCCATTTCTTTATGGTATATAATACGATCAACACAAATTCGTTTCAATAAAAAGAAAGCATATAGCAAGTACAGCTGCTGTAAGGGCCTGCGCTTATTTTAACCATTTAAAGCCTAAACTACTGAAATTTAGAACATGAATACTAAAATTACAAGAGAATCGTTGCCTTATCATTTGCAGTAATATTCAGTTAGCACTGCAGTAAGTATCTATCATGTGTTCACTTTGACAGCTGCTTTGAGAGTTATGCTAGTACATAATTATATTCGTCTAAAAAAACACGTTTTAACGAGTATACCCGAAACAGGATATATTTAGTTTAGCAGGAAGCTTGTAACACCAAGTAAGAAACGTTGGAGGCCCTATAAAGTATATATAAATAAATCAACAGCCTGACGAGCTGAATCGATTTAGAACATATCCTGTTATCTGTCTGTCTGTTCATTCCTCTGTATATACACGAACCAGTCGCTCAGTTTTTGAGAATTCTATCTGGAATTTTGCACATACTTCTCATGCCAATAATTATCGGAACCGCCGATATATAAGAATATAGCTCACATACAAGCTAATCGATCAAAATTAAGTGGTTGCATGGAAAATTGTATTATTTGACAAACTATCTTTACGAAATTTGGCATAGATAATTGTCCAAGGTAAAGCTGCAATCCTCGAACGGATTGTTCAGATTGAACCTATGTATTGTAGTATATAGCTGGCATACAAATCGGTTAGAACAAAATCAAGAGAAATATCTTCATAAAAGGTATTCTGTGTTTATAAAGGGTTACATGGCTTTTACGGCTTCAAAAACAAACTTTTTTATCGCGTTGTTTAATTCTATGTGAACTCTGGAATATTGTCCTAAGTTTACAAGTTGATCCGAGTAATACTTTTGGAGATACAGATACAGTTGCAGATTTAGAAAAGTTGCACGCTTCAAGCCAGCTATATTGTCACTTAAAACTTTAAACGCGTTTTTCTCGAAACTGTGTTTTCAAAGTCGATTGTCAAGATTTCTTGCGAACTACTTAACCGATCTCAATAAAATTTTACAAGTCTTCGAGATATAATTTACAAGGCCTTGAAAGAAGGATTTTTTTGTTCAGTTTCAAGAACCAAAAATATCAAAAATAAAAAAAACCTTCGACAAAACCGTTTTCAACAAAATTTGTATTTTATTGTAAAAACGTCTGCAAAAAATACAATTTTTAATTTTTTAATTTTTTGTACGTGCAATACCTAGTCTATGGTCTTAACCAAAGCACCTATTTTTTTTCTTTTTACCTTTGGTAATCCTATAAGTAATTCTGCTGTCAACGAGTATGCAGCTGTTTTCCGAGGGGCTGCCGGAAATGACATCGTAATGGCCGAGTTTTGAATATATTCCTTTGAAAATTTCACAAAATCTTTGTAAGATATGTATCTTTGTAATAATAAAAAGTTTAAATAAAATATATTTTTTTTATATGAAAAAAAAATTATTGAAAATAGACCGTTTTTTGCTCAACGAAACTCATGTAACCGCTTAGGTAAAATTAATTCGACTTTACGTTTCATATTTAGTTATTCGGTACATACTTGTATAGTCGTTAAAAGATGTGCAGCCGTGAAGAGTATTATAGCAGTGCTGTAGCGTTTTCTTGTAATTATGTAATCCAATATAATCAGATACCTTTAAATTACTAAAATAACTTTTAAAATTCATAAGAGATTTCAGAATATGCATATATGTAAACAGTGAATTACAGAATTTTCTTGTGGAGGACAACTTGCTCAACAGGTGGCATTGGTGTTCGAATATTTTTGCACCAATTTAAGTCATATTTACAACTTGTTAAAATATTTAAAACTTATGTAAACTGGATGAAAAGGAATGTGGCCGTTATGCCCATACCATTTCTTTGCATTATCTGTTATATTTTAGGCAGACTTTACACTGATATGGAAAAATATTTTTTCGCAGTAATATCTAGCGTGTATCAATGCACATAATTCGAAAGCTAATTCAATGATTTTTCACAGTGTATTCTTTGCGAAAAATAGTAATGCTGGAACTTAAACTATATCGACTCTTATGCTCTTATTTACTTTATAAAAAATAAATTTATGACATCAATTTGATATATCCTTCTAAAGAAATACTTTTAAGTTTTTTTCTTAAGCCCACTAGGCATAATATTTGACTTTAATGTTAAAGTGTCTCCTTATAACAAGAGCATTTTTTAATTTAGTGGAATTTCAACATTAATCAAAGGTCCAACTTAAAAAAAGCAATCTTCCTTACAAATAAATTCAACCGTTCATAATACGCTTACAAACTTTTTTCAGAGCCAAACGCTGAAGAAGAAGAAAAGTTAAGAAAGAAAAATCTTTATGATTCTATTATTTTATGACCGAAATAAACGCAACTTCTACACATAATGAAAACAGATTAAACAACTCTCTATCACTAAACAAGATGCCAACTTACTTAGCTATAATAAAATACTTCAACTGTTTTTTCTGTATATTTCTGGATAATGTAATTGATTTGCTACTATAATTCGAAGTTTTTGAATCAAAAGCACCTTACGAAATTATATATAATATATAAATCCATTTTTTACCACACTATACATATATTTATTGATTAAGGCGTTAGGTCAAACTGGGTAGGTAGGTAGTTAGGTAATTCTGGGAGTAAGCAGAAAGGAATCGAATTTTTGCTGTCAGGCTTTTATAAATCCGTATTCAAGTGTATAAGAAAAATTGTATTGAAATTTTTATACAAAAAGCCTCCACAGGCGACGTTGATTCTATTTTTGATATCTGAAACAAAAAAAAAAAAAACGGGGTCTTCATCTACTATATAAGACTTACAACATAGTAGACACCAAAGATTTTAATCTTTACGTAAATTTTTCCAAGAATGGCGTACTTGTAAAAAAATTTCAAATTTTTTACTAAAAAAATTAGGTACTACTACTCACACTTCTGTAAAAAAAAACATTTGCTATAATAACAAAAATGGTACGCTGTTTTTCAGATAATGTCACTATAAAGCTATTGTTAAAATTTCAATGGAATGGATGCCAAAGACTTTGTGTACCATCTGCACATGATTTCAAAAATGCAGTTGCGAAAAAAACGCGTTTAATGTTTAACAAGCAAACAGGTTGGTTTAGACAAAACGCTTCGACACTATCGTGGGCCCTACATACAACAGTTGTGTCTGCGTAACCGGAACGTACCCGAATTTTTATCCAGACAAAGGTTGTCAACTCGTAACATTCTTTCAAATTATTTCAGGGATTCTTTTTGCAGCTACAATACAATAACACTATACTAAATTAGACAACACATGTTATCTTCCACTATTTGACCAATTGAGTATTTTTTTTAGAACTCTGACGTGCACTTTAAGCCAATAAAAAATGTTGTTTTTTTTTCTGAAAATCCTTGACAGTCATAACCCTTTGAGATATCCAAGAGGCATTATCATTGGGAAAAGGTAGATAAAAAATTGTCAGCATGGTCACTTAGCATCGCTATCTATGCTATACCCTCTAAGTAATTTTAAGCCATTAGTAACAGTGTTAAA